GGGGGGCCGCGGGGCCGCGGGGCGGCAGCTGCATGCTTGGCCTCTCCTCCCTTAAACCTCGTCTGCCGCAGGTGGAGGCCGCGCGGAAGGCGGTGCGCGCCGCGCAGGTAGAGCGGTACGGGCCCCAGCACGATCGCCGCTGCTGGTGTCTGTGCTGCGCCCGGGAGGTGCGGAGGCACCTGAGCCACGGCAACGTGACGGTGCTGCACGGAGGCCTGCTGGAGCACCTGGCCAGGTGAGAGACGGGCCCCGAGCGCCGCCCATCCAGCCCAGTCGCTTACATCTCTGGGAGCGCTTAGGGCCGCTGCGAGGAAGGAGGCTTTTGAGAAGAACGAGAGAGTGGTGTCCGTCCAGCTCCTCGCGGGCCTCTTTTTCGAAACGGTACTTCTTTAAAGTGTTTCGAAGAAAAGTGGTTGCTTTGAGCACATGTGAAAGCTAGACAAGGAATACGGAAGACCAATAAGCCTTTGAATCATGCCACTGGCAAGGAATATATTGTATATGGCACAGGCTGCCCCCAGAGTGAACAGACCTGCTTGAGTAGAAGTACAGCCCAAATACCTGGCAACCAGGATGGTGAGACTTCGTCTAGGTATCTTGAGCGTGTCAGCCGGAGTGAGCAGTCCCTGGAGAAAGAGTGCAGACTTGGTAAAGTAGAGGGGCAGCGAACAAGAGGGAGGCTGTGGATGAGATGGGTTGACACAGTGGCTACAACCATGAGCTAAAACTATAACAACATAGATAGATAGATTAGATAGATAGATTGGATGGATAGATAGATAGATTAGATAGATAAACAAACAAACATATAAACAATTGTGAGGGTGGCCCTGGATGGTGCGGGGGGGTTTTGTTCTGTGTACATTTGGTCACCAGGAGTGGGAAGCCACAGGGTGGCACTGAGAAGCCCTCTAGGCTGGGCAACAGCTGGCTGAGGGTCACTGCCCATCAACCACCCCCCCCTCCAGAGCCTTCTCTGTTTATTGGGATAATGGAGTCTTTGCCCAGAGGCAGAGGTAGAAACCCAGATGTCAGATTGCATGACCTATCGAATGCTTACGTGTCTGAGAAGTTTCCTATCGCTGAGATGAATTCCTCATCCTTTTCGGTTTCAGCCCAGAGCACAAGAAAGCGACCAATAGATTCTGGTGGGAGAATAAGGCTGAGGCCCGGATGAAAGACAAGTTTCTGATCTCTCCCCAGGACTATGCAAGGTGAGTTGGATCAGTGGGTGAATTCTCTGGGTCTGTGTCCAGCGTGAGCGCGTCCTCTTTTCATTGGAAAGTCCGAGTCGCTGTGTGCTGTCCAGTTGATTCTGGCCCCTGCTGGGAGGTGCCATGGAGTGAATGAAACACTGCTCGGTCCTGTACCTTCCTCACCCTCGTTTCTCTGCTGGAGCCCCTTGTTACAGCCACTGTGTCAACCATCTCCTGAGGGTCTTCCTCTTTTCCGGTGTCCCTCCTCTTTACCAAGCAGGAGGCCTTTGTACAGGACTGGCCTCTCCTGGTCTGGCCCTGAATGAGCCTGTGTGACAGGATGAACCTGCTGCCCCGTGGGATTTCTGAGGCCATAATCATGATGGAAACAGATCGCCAGGCCTTTTTCTCAGTGTAGCAGATTGTGGGTTTAAACCACCGACTTTTGGTTATCTCCTGAGCACATACATCACCTTTGTGCCACTATGGCTTCCTATGGGTATGTGATTTTTTTTTTGTTCCCCAGAAAGGAAAGGCTGAGGTATTGCTAAGAAACTAATGAAAATGGGAACCGTGTAGAGATGATAGAAATAGCAGCACGATGTCCTAAGTATTTTTTTAAATAAAGCTTTGACTTTGAACTTATCAGTGTCACACAACAAGACAGGGTGCAAGACCAAGACCAAGACCTGATTAATTGGACTGGTAAAGCTATAATGAGTCACTTTTATTTATTTTTCGCAAGTAAGGGGATGGGTAAAGAGAGTTAATAGGTTTCCACAAGTCAGAATCAGTGAACAGCAAGTACATTGTCGCTGGTCCACAGCAGCACCTCAGCCAGCGGTCAAGTCTCTCTCTGGCCCTCAGCCTCTCAGCCACATGGTCGCTTGGCCTCTGTCTCTGGACCAGAAAGCCCGACTGTCACACTGCCTCATAGTCCCAAACTCTTGGTGCTGCTCTGCTCTCCTTTATCCTTGCCTTGGCCTCTGCCTCTGCCTTGGCACCGGGCTCCTTTGCCCTGCCCCATGGTCTCCGTGCCACAGTCTCTGGTGTCTCTGTCTTGTTCTCTGCCATGTCAGACAGAAATCTCCAACATGCTCTGGGAGGATTAACGGTGCAATCCTCACAATCAGTTTTGGAACTCTATGTGGGGCTTTTATTGAACCTCAGGATCCGGGGGAGGGCAAGCGGCAGAGAAGCTGTAAAGCACATTTTTGAGACAATTAGGGAAGTTTGAGTATAGGTTATATGAGGGGGCTTCCATTTTCCCACAAGCTTTTTTGAAGCCCCATCACATGTTTTTTCAAGTGTGGTGGTGGTTTTGTGGTTGTAGAGCTTGTTCTTCAGATGCATGTTGAAACCCCGTAAGGTTATCACCCGTTTTGACTGGGCAAAGGGCAACGTGCGCATATCTAGTGAGCTGGGCCTGGGCCTCCACCTGAGGAGCCCGGTCTTGAGATGCCCACCTGGCTCTGGCTCCCCTCCGCAGAGCTTTCCAGAGATTGGCTGGCAGTTGCTGGTCAGAGGGGTTTGTGCTACTTCCCTTTAGTGCAGCGGTTCTCAACCTGTGGGTCGTGACCCTTTTGGGGGTCTAATGACCCTTTCACGGGGGTCACCGTATTCATGACAGTGATGAAGTAGCAACGAAAATAATGTTATGGTTGGGGGGTCACCACCACATGAGGAACGGTATGAAAGGGTCACTGCATGAGGAAGGTGGAGACCCGCTGTTTTAGTGCTTTCTGTGGGGCAAGGGGAGAAAGAAGTCTGTTCTCCAACTTGCTGCCAACTGAGCAATGCCGGGCAAGTCCGTATCCTCCCTGTGCCTCTGTTAAGGAGCCTTGGTGGCAGAGTGGCTTACCCATTGGGCTGATGAAGATAGGACCTTCCACGCCCACAAAGATTGGCAGCCTTCATAGCAGCCTGTGTGATCATGAGATGTTCACTAGGATAAGTTCAGAAGTTCAAAAACAAGCAATCAAATTGACGTGAAGGGGCATGGACAAAGTGGGACCCAAAACCCACCTGTAAGACATTAGGGCAATCTCTCACAGAAGGGCCACACAGAAGGGATGATATATCCAGGGTACAGTATAGCACTGATGAAACACATAACTATCCTCTAGTTCTTGAATATTCCCTCCCCTTACTGTCATGGTCTAGATTTACCTCATGAATCTTGTTAGACCTGTGTGTGTCATTTGTATAATTAAGTTTGGTGCATGATAGCCAAGGTAGATAACCCTTCATAAGTAGTCATGGGAGTAATGATTCCCTGAGGGTACTGGAAGAGAGGGGAGGGGGAGCTGTTAGTAATGATGACTATATACCCCCACTTTAGGGGAATGGATACAATGGATTGTGTACAATATGGCAAAATAATAATATATGAGTTCCTGGGGGGTTGGGGTAGAGCGAGAGGGGATCAAGGGGAGCTGATTAAAGAGTTCAAGAAGAAAATGTTCTCAAATTGATGATGGTAGCAATTGTAAAATATGCTTGATCTAACTTAAGTATGGATTGTTATTATATCTGTAAGAGCTTCCAATACAGTGATTAATAAAATTTTTAAAAAAACTTTTAAAAAAGATTTGCAGCCTTGAAACCCTTGCAGCAATTCTGCTGTGCTCAGAGCTGGGGCCACGTGAGGGCAGTGAGCTTGGGTGTTGTACCTGTATGTAAGGAGAGGAGTGGCGCCCGTGAATGTGGGTGTTCACTGTACTATACTTTTGTTTCAGTTTCAAATTTCTTGAAATCTAAAAAGGGGAGATGGGGACTACGGCTGAGGAGAATTTAGGAGCTCGGTTGTGGGCAGTGGATGGATTGCTCACCGCAAGGTCAGCAATTCAAACCCGCCAGCCGTCCAAGGAGAGAGGAGGTTGGCTGCTTCTGTCACCGTTTGGTCTCAGAAACGCTATGGTGTCGCCATGAACCAGAATTGGCTCTATGGCAACAGATTTTCACAACTGCAGCCAGCGTGAGTGACCACTGACCGGGGCTGAGACTGGACTGATTTGCTTCCTTTGTAGATTCAAGAAATCCATGGTGCGAGCTTTGGATTCTTATGAGGAAAAAGAGGATGAAGTGATCAAAGAGGTAATTTCAAGGCAAAGCCTTTGGAGGACCCAGCTCCTGTGAACCTGTATCACGTTCTAAACAGCGTCTCTCCACAGATGGCGGCTCAGATCCGGGCGGTGGAGAACAGCCGGCAGGAGATGGTTCAGGCCGCGTTAGAGGTTGGTTTCTCTTGGCGGATCCAGCGCAGTATCCAAATCCACTGGTCCTTGGCTCACCTACCAGCTCCCCTAGGAGAACTCACGGACTGCTCTCCTGTGTGAATCCCCCATGCCCCTCCCCTGTTGACCGGGGAAGGCCTTGGCCATGGAGAAGACATGGGCGGGGCTGGGAGCTTGCAAGGTGGGCAGCACCATCCACTGTATATCCGATTTATTTTCTGTACTTGTTACTGGGGCCTAGTGGGTGGGCCATGCTCTAGGCAGGCACTTAAGCATCCTAGACACTTTAATTTTTCCTGAAACCAAATCAGCCTCAGGCCGTGCCAGACCCAGAGGAGGGCTCTTCGATGCATACAAGCTGGGAAGAGAGCCACAGGTAAGCTTGCCAGAGAATTGTGCTGGGAACTGGTGTATCACTTGCCAGAGCTTTCTCTAAACGTGCAGCCGAGAACTGGGCACACATCTCATCTCAGCACTCTTCATGGGGAGCTCCTGTACCCGGCCAAGGACCTCATCTGCCAGCGTGGCTTCCTCTCCTTTTGCAGACAAGCATCTTCCAGTTCACAGCAGCCTTTAGCCTTGGGTCTGCCGCCAATCCCAGAGCTGGACTGGATGGAGGCGGGACAAGCCCTGACTTTCATTAACCATCAGGTACAGTGCATAAACAAGCCAGTGGCCCCCCGAGATCCCAAGATAACCCCCTCTTCTGGTTTCCCATGCACTCCAGGGTTCCCCCAGCCACCCATCCCCTGTGCATGCTTCTTTGTTGCGCCAGTGTATTGCTCGTGCCCTAGTATTGCTCTCAGATCACCTCTCGCCCAACTCCGGTGATCATGTCTTACCGATTCTGTTATACAAGGTCAGGCTGCAGACATGACGAGTTGGACTGTGATCTAATAGTTGTCAGTTCAAAACCGCCAGTAGCTCCTCAGGAGAAAGCCTGGGCTTCCTAGACAGCTGTAGACCCTCTCCACCCATCTTTGCTCTTCCACACCATCGCTAAGATGCCTCCTCCTACCCAGCCACCCCTGCAGCACTTGCCTTCTCAACCCTGCCTCCCACCCCGCCCCGCCCTGCGATTGTGCTCCTCCCTGCAGTTGTCACCACCTTCAGCGGCTCTCCTCCCCACACCACCCAGCTAGCTCTCAACTCCCCTCAAAGTGATGGAGGCCCTTCCCACTCAGTTCCTGTCCAGGCCAGAGAACTGCCCCACGGGGGTGGATCTCTACAGGAGCCGACTGACCAGTCTTGCTCCCTGGAGCTGCTGTGAGGACAACCTAACAGTTGTGCGGCCAGGCTGTCCTTATAGATGGACACCTGATTCTGACTCAGAGCCCCCACAGGACAGAGTAGCAGCGCTCTCCAGGGTTTCTGAAATAGTAACTTTACCGGAAAGCCTTTTTCTCAGAGCAGCAGTGGGTTTGAACCACCAACCTTGCAGTTAGTCCAATACGCAACCGATTACCCCAGCACCTTGGAAAGCTGGGGATTGTTTACACCTAGCTTGCTCTACCGAGTGTGCGTGCTTTGTGAGGGTGGGGTTTTGCTCCCCTGGCATGTAGGGAGATTGTGGGATAGCTCCACTATTGAAGACAGGACTGTCCTCCCGTTCATTACCTATTCCCAGGCGCTGAGAGTGGGCTCTCTGGCTGTATCATCTCTTGGCTCTCACATCTAGGATTTCTCCCCCATTTCCAATTCTAGGAGATACCAGGCGTCGGCAATATCCATTCGGGTAAGTTTCATTTCTAAGTGGTGGTTAACTTTTGTATGTGCATGTGTCCAAAATAGATACTTGAAACCAGAAATGTTAAGAAGCCCCATGAAGACTTCTCATTAGTCCCTGAAAAAAAACACCACAAATTAAAACCCATGACTTAACTACCTAGTTATTAGAATGACTCAACATTTTCAGACCTGAGTAGATCAGGTGTTTGGGAACAATGAATTTGGAGGAACTGGAGTGCCTCACTGCTGAAGGGGATCTAAAGTGGTTTAAGTTAAGCAAAGACCCTCCATGGATTCAGCCATCCTACTCCTGAAAGCATGCCAGTACTTTATGGGACAGTATCCAACAGCAACAAGAATGAGCCACTGCCACCACAGGAGTTCCAAAATAATTGTGCTACAAACTAGACCACAAAAGGAGGGTGGGGAGGGCCACATGATAAAAGGATTTCAGTGGGGCAAAGGGCCCAGGGGTGATATTACCGGAACTATCTGGATTGTGGTAATGGCTTCATGGCCTGGCCTATCAGCAACCAGGCAGAACTGCTCCTGTGGGTTTCCAAGATTGTAACTACAGTAGTAAGCCGCCCTGGTCTTTCTAGCATGCATCCAACAGCACTTTGTTCACTTACATCAGCCTAGGTATGGATACACCCAACTTCTCAAGTTGCAGAATGCCTGACTGTTGCCTTAGATTATGACCAGTTCTCATTAGCTAAGTTCGGCTACGACATGTTTTACAAGAGCATAGACAAAAGAAACCAAAGACAACCCTAATTTCTGCTTGCTGGGGGGTTCCTAGGAGCCACGCCTCCCTGGATGGTCCAAGATGAAGAACAGGGCTCTGGGGACCAGCCAATAGGACCCTCCTATGAAGAGTTTCTTAAACAAAGTAAGTAAACCAATTCGGGAAAGGCAGAGAATGCAAACCTACCACTCTAATCAC